ATCACTTTGGCATCTCAGTCATATCACTCGCACACTCTGTATTTGATCACGTGCTTCACAAACAAAGACATCCTAGTAAATCAAAGGAGTGACTAGGACCAAATAGGTAGAATTCCACTTAATCGTGATATCTTGATACAACTTTTTGAAAATAGGAAAACGCAATTGGCATGTTGTGTCTCAGACTTTTCTATCCCTTTTTATATAGACGACGAATATATGATACTATCTCTAACTTTCTCAATAGCATCTACGATGACTGCTAATCCACTTTTACAATTAAATTCAGAATATGCGCATAGAAAAGAACTATTCAATATTATGAACTTGTATCAAGTTTCTAACCAAACCCTCGACTACAACATCATTAATTGAGCAATTATCAAGTGTAATACTTGATAATTTCCTATTAACATTTTAATCATAAATCACTTCAAAAATTCAATGGTTACTTCAGTAGTATGAGGAGTTGGCACATAACAAAACCTTAAAAAAAATAAATACAATCCAAACTTAAACTTTGAACTTATTACCACAAATGTATAAATGAATTATTTATTTTTAAATTATTTAAATAACTCAATGTAAACATGGATAAGTTATAAGTTACATCTGCATACATAATAAGGTGAGAACTTAATTCCCAAGAATCATTGATGTAGTGTGCTATAACTACCATGTACCCTTCTTTTGATGATCAGCTATCCACATGTCAGTTGTTATGCCAATTCAGCTTGAAATTCCCAGCAACTCAACCATTGTTTTCTTTTTATTCTCTTTATACATTTTGTCGCTCTTAAGTAGACAAGGGGACTCATTATTCCCATTGTTGTTTATCATAGTGATGGAGGCGCTTAATAAATTGCTTTTGAAGGTAAGGGAGTAGGAGATTACACACTTGTCTTTTGCAAATGATACACTAATGTTTTACCAACTAGATGAAAATACCTCGCAAACACTTATTGTGTGTTTTGTTGTGCTTCCAAGCAGTTTTAAATTTGAAAATCGACCTCTCTAAATCGGAGATGGTGAGGCTGGGGGAAGATAGTGACACAAGTTGCTTAGCAAGTGTCTTGGATTGCAAGGCTTGGGTGCAAAGTTTAAAGATGTAAAGACTTGGGATTTGGTGGTTATAAAATTTGAGAGGAGGCTTGCAGGGTAGAAAAGAAGTTTACTCTCGAAGGGTGGTCGTTTGACTCTAATCAAGAGTACCTTGTCCAACCTCCCTATTTACTATATGTCCCATATCTCTCTGTCTGTTAATGTTACAAAAAAGATTAGAAGCATTACAATGCAGATTCTTATGGGGTTTGGATGAGAAAAGGAGCTACCATTTGGTTGCTTGGGGTGAGGTGAAGAGAACGATTTGTGAGGGGTTTTCGGAATTAGGTCTATGTTAGAGATGAACAAGGCATTGCAAGGGAAGTGGGTTGGGCAGTTTATGAAGGAGAGGGATGCTCTTTGGAGGAGAATTATAGAGAAGAAGTATGGCACAATTGATCATGGTTGGTACTCTCGTGCGATGGTGAGATCATGTGGAAGAGGGATGTAGCGCATATTATATATGAGAAAAGAGGCTTTCAGTGAATGCATTCTGTGGCAGGTTGGGAAAAGGAATAGAATTGATTTTTGGTTGGATTTGTGGCTGGAAGGTGGGGTGCTCGAACACATGTTCCCACAGATTTATATTATTGCTAGACAAAAGATTATGTCAGTTAAAGAGGCGATGGGAAATGGTGAAGAAAGGAGAGAGGGGAAGGTGGAAGTTGTAAGAAACCTCAATGATTGGGAAATCTTTGAGCATGAAGCATTATTAGCTTTGTTGGAGTCGGTAGCTTTGACCGAGAATCATGATCTGTGGAAACTCACAGACTCGGGTCTTTTCATGGTGAAATCTCTATACAGATATTTGACTAAAGAAGGAGCTTGTAGAAGGTAATTTCCCTTACAGACAGATTTGGAAGATAAAGGCATCGTTAAGGATTGTTTTTTTTTTTTTTTGCTTGGAAAGCAGGCAGGTTGTGCATTTTGACAATTAACAATTTAAAAAGGAGGCGAGGATTATGGTTAACTTGTGTTCTTTATGTAAGAGGGCCAAGGAGTTTTGCAATCATTTGTTGCTTTCGTGGCCAGTGGTGTATATGTTATGGTCAATGGTGTATGGGCTTTTAGGTGTAAAGTGGGTCGTGGCCAGGTCTGTGAAAGAAGAGTTATGGGCATGGAAAGATTTGGCTAGAAAGAAAAGATGGTTGGGGTTAGTTCTGCTGGTAATTTTTTGGGTGGTGTGGAAGAAGATAAAGAAGAGAATATTTGAAGGGATTGAAGAGGGTATGGACAGAATTTGAGAGGGATGGTTCCAAACCTTTAGCACTATGGTTAGGGGTAAACAGATTGCTATTTCGAAGAGTTAGGAAAGTTAATTGATATAATTACAGAAATGTAAGTAATTTTGTTTATAGGTGGCACCTTTTTGGTGCGTATACGTAATGATACTTTATTCTTTTCATTTCCTAAAAAAAAAAAAAGAAAAAAAAGAATATCGCTCTTAAGAGTGTTTCTAGAAGGAAGTTGAAATAAAGGCTGAAGCTGACAAACAAAATTTTTAATTCCAACATGGCCAACTATAGCTAGGCGATATTCATGCATAATTACTATGTTCGCAAGGTACTTCCTATACTCAACTTGATCAATTGCATAATTTCCAATGTTTGATTTTCTATCAACTTTTTTCTGATTGTTGACCGAAACCATTTGTCTGAGATCTTGAAACCTCTCTATGCCGGTGACATCTGTCTATATGATTTTTCATATGACTTGTACAATTTTTTTCTTCACCCTCTAATTTCTTTCTATAATGATTACATATTGCTTTCCAAACATCATTTTTCCTAACTCTTTCGAAATGCTCCCAGACCTACTAGTTAGTCGTCCTCCATTACTTTAACTTTCCCCATCAGTATTAGTTTTTTAAGGATTAGTTTTTTTAAGATAAAAAAAAGGTACTGGGTAATGGTTATTCCTCCCTTGGTCTAAGACTAATAGGACTATGACATGTAGTCATATTCCGTTTCTTGGTTTCTGTTTGAAGCTTGAGAGTTAATTGAATTTATCATTTTTCAAATTATAACCTGTAAACTAAAGAGAGTAATTACAATGTATGACATGTAAGGTGATTATTGCTTGAATAAAATTTAGAAAAATAGCCATTTGCTCTAAAAAATGCATCATGTTTTAAATCGTCAAGAAAACAACAAAAAGATATAACTATTTCCAAGACTACAAAGATAAAGAAAGAACCTAAAAAGCAACATATTTATGTAGTGCATATAAAATAAAATATAGTGCATATAAAGAAAGAATCCTCTATGAGATAGTAGTGCAGAGTATTTTTGTTTTCTTTTGCTACTTTGATTGGATTACGATGTTAATTCTGTTAATAGTTGCAGATGAATGAAACGTATGCTCTTTTACCACTTTTAAACTTGTAAGTGTGTGTATTATTCAACCTTCTATGAAATGTATTCTTATTTAACATCCCTTGCAGATATGAAATATTCCAACTCATGGTGAATCTATATACTGAGAGGTTTATACAAATGCTTAGATTGCTTAGCGACAGGGCAAATGAACTAACAAATATAGAGATCTTAAAGGTATGTAAACCTAGACATGTTTATGCTTTCAATATGTCGACTCTCATTGACTGGTCATTTTGATGTTTTGGAGGAGATTGCATGTTATATGATAGTGTAAAGTGTTAAAAACTTTATGAGTTGCTAAATTCGATATGACATATCTGCTATAAGAAAATCCCAGCTCTTGCTTTATCTTTGAAAAAAAAAGATTTCTCAGTGCTGGTTAGAATCTAGGTAGAGCAAAATCCACTACTGCCATATTTCTTATGTATGAGCACTTAATAAAGCATATAGATTAATATGTATGTATATATATGATATCTCAACCATTTAGATACTAAAGCTCAATCATCACACGGCAAAAGCTTTTTCAGGCACCCCTTAAAAGATGATAATGCACTTCACCTGGCAATTGCATTACCATTCTTACTTTGTTTTATTTATGGGCACCACATTGAATTTTTCATAGACAGAAAAGTAATTTAAGCATTTGATTGAGGTACTATTTTATTTTGCCTAATGGGTTTAATTATCACTTGAATCTTTTTTCTATATCATTCTGTTATGAGGAGTTGCCTGGCCGAATAAAATTCTTGCTCTATCCTTTTTTTTACTCTTTATCATATCCTTTTACTCTCTGTTATTTAATTTTAGGAGCTTACAGATCTTGCTGCTTGCAATTAGGTAACTGGCTGGGTAGTTGAATATCAAGAAAATCTGATTGGTCTTGGTGTTGATGAGTCTCTTGCACAAGTCTGTTCTGAGAGTGGTTCTATGGATCCTCTCATGAACTCATATGTTGAGAGGATGCAAGCTACAACAAAGGTAATGATAGAGTATCAATTTTTTCAGGCTTGTGATATTTTCTTTTAGGTTAGCTTAGATGTCTTCTCTTGTTTGACTGTTGCTTTTGTTTTTTCCTCTCTTCCTAGAAATGGTATTTGAACATCCTTGAGGCTGATAAAGTGCAAGCACCCAAAAAAACTGAAGAAGGAAAGCTATATACTCCCGCTGCTGTTGATTTGTTCAGGATCCTAGGAGAGCAAGTGCAAATTGTTAGGGATAATAGCACTGATGTGATGCTATACAGGATTGCTCTTGCAATTATTCAGGCAGGTTAAAGACTTTCATACATATGCTTTGAGATTTGTTTCATAATTCTGCTGATTCCCGTTAGACGTGGAAAATTTGTTGGAGGATCGAGAAGTTTCAGAAATATGTTAGGTTAGGAGGATTATTTTTCTCTCTTTTTGTTAGTAGAAAGGGAGAAAGTCGATACAATCAAGATGGAGAAAATAAAGGATCCCACCCAAAAAAAAAGCAGCAAAAAGAAACACAAATAAATCGAGGCCAAATAGCAATTCCCCTCACAGCATCACCACCAGAACAGAAGCTTCAATTCCATTATCCTGCTTCTTTCACTTCTCGCAATAAATTTTTTGATTCTTCAAGGTATCAGTTTGACCATTTCAGGTAATGATTGATTTTCAAGCAGCAGAGAGGAAGAGACTTGAAGAACCTGCTTCTGACATTGGTCTGGAGCCTCTATGTGCAATGGTTTGCTAATATTTTATTTGTACAATTTGTGGCACAATGCTTTAGTAATTGCATCGAAATACTATTTATGACTCCTCTTTTGCTCTAAATGTTGAATAGATTAACAACAATCTGCGATGCTATGACCTTGCGATGGAGCTGAGTCACAGCACCATAGAAGCTCTTCCACAAAACTATGCTGAGCAGGTTATGCTGTTTCATGCTTGATCTCTTTTATGTTTTCTTTTGTTTGTTCTTTGATAAGAATCACAGCCTTGCTACTGAGAATGCTAGATTTCCACGAAGTAATTCTAATGCAGGAAGGCAAATCACCAAAATGGGAGAGTTATCGTATTAAAAATATTATCCAAACAACTAAGGAGCTAAAATCTTTTATAAATTATTAGGAACATTTAGCTTGCTTGGGTCATGTTCTGGAGATAACTTCCAGGATAACTACTCTTTCTCCTCATGTAAACCAAATTTGCTGTCCTTGGAGCAGATTATGAATGAAGAAATTCTATCAAAGTTTTGAGTACTTTTCTTACTCAAGAGATTGTTGGGTTCTCTTTTAACGGGCTCATATTTAAATTAAAGATAGGCAAAAGAAGAAAGACACAAATATTCACAACTACCTATTGAATTTTCATGTTCATTGCCTTGTAACTCAATCAATCAGTAGGGAACGTAACAGTTTCCCTCTCTCTAAATGGCCCATAAAATAGAAAGTGGTGACGAGGGTCAAAATTTTCCTTTTGTTGTTTGGAACATGCTCAAACTGCTCTGAATGGAAGCAGCTACTGCTAGCTCTGCCCAACAAATTTTAGAGCTACTTCACATAACCTTCTAGACCAGTTGCATTGTAGAAGTAGCGAGAGGCAGCTGCTCAGTAACATTCGCTGAGCCGATTTTCCCTTTATTCATAGACCTTCGATTGCTAAATTATGTTACCACACAGCTTCCCATTCAAAAAAGTTACGTGGGAGCATTTTCATGAACTTTTAGTAAAACTCCTTGATTGTAGCATCTCCAGCATATAGATAGTTGCATGATACATACAGATAGAAAGAGGTCCTGCTAATCTAGGTTAAGATTTTGAAGCTATTCTTATAGTTTCATAGGTCGTGCCTAGCTCTCTGCACCATCCCAACAATATCTTTAAGTACAAATATTCAGTTAATTTTTGTTTGGTTTACTTCTGAAGAACATTTGTGCTGTAAATGTCAATTGTAAGCAACAAAAACAGGTTTGAATTTTTTATTTGTTAATTAGACTGTTATATGCTGCTCTGATACTAAGAAGATGGTAAAGCTAGAATTACTTACTCAAAATACAACCTCCTTGATAGAAGAAACCTCCTTGGAGGTACTTTTGCATGATGGCAGGCCGAAAAGATAGATGAACAGAGTGATTTCTATTAGATTTTGTGTTTATAATGTCATTTCTTTTTCTTCTGTTGTGCATTTCCTCTTCTCTTATTCAGGTTAATTTTGAAGACACTTGCAAAGGTTTCCTTGAGGTGGCCAAGGTACTTCTTTTAGAAGAAAAAGAGGAATTATATTGACATGATCCCGTAGGGGTACATGTTCTTGAATGTCTAAATTCTAAGCATCTTTGTATAATCAATACTTAATCAATTATACATTACTAACTATTATTGTTTTTTCCTCCATTCACTAGAAATGTGTCTGGTATCTTTTTGTGCTAATGACTGTGTTTTGTTATGTATATATAACATCATCACAGTTTCCTAGAAGTTTATATTAATGTTCTTATTATATTTGGTACCAAATGACTTCACTCTTATTGATCGAGTCCCATATTTTTTCTGTAAAAATTATTGCATCAGACTTAGATTTGTACCTTATAGAAGATTTCCACCTGAGTCCAAGAGATAATGTCCTAGAGTATTCTTATTTGTGGTTCAAAGTATTGTTTATAAGTGAGTTTCAATTGTTAATTTACTTTTTTTTTTTTATTTTAAGAAAATTGTTAATTTACTTTCACATTTTGCATCTCATGGTTTTTATGGCATCTTTTTAGCTACTGGCAACAGAAGTTCATATGTATAATTGAATCAATTTTTGGCTATGTATAAAATTTTATTGATTTTTAATCTTTAAAACTGGTTGTTAGGTGTCATTCTCATGTTCTGGGTTGTTGTGTAAATGAGTTTCCTTCAATAATTTCATTTCTGGATCAGGTCGTGTTATAATGTATTGTTATAAATTGTCAGCCCACCTTTAGCTATCATGCAATGGATTTGCATAGCTCTTTTGTACTGATTCCTTTTCCACCTTTTCTGTGTTTTGGTCTTCTTTTCTGCTTGGCTTAGGAGGATACCTAATCCTTCCTCTTGTATTTCTGTTTCCCTCTAGTAAAATCTTCTTTTCTTATTGAAAAAGTTATTAATTTTCTTTCTAGGTTTAGGTAGCTGCCTTGTTTTAGCATGCATATTAAGCCCACTGGATCTCTTTAAATTGTAAAAAAGATAACTAAAATATCCAAGTTGCCTTTTGATGGTAGGAAGCTGTGCATCAAACTGTTCATGTTATCTTTGAGGATCCTGGAGTTCAGGAGTTGCTTGTCAAGCTTTATCAGAAAGGTTGGTTAGTATTTACTTCGATGATTGTTTTTTTGTTGATGAATAATGGCTTATGAGCTCATAAGGCTATAAGCTCCTGAAAACGTCAGATTTCCCTGTGTTTGTTGAGATTTATTTTATATGGGTTATAAATTGTACATAAACATAAGCATTTGGTTGCACCAAGTACGGGCATTTTATTCAAAAGAAGTGTTAGAATGTAATTCTTGAAGTACAAAAATCTTAACATAGTTTTTATCTTGATGCAGTTGTATATACGTTTTTATCTAGCAGTTTTTATCTTGATGCAGTTGTATATACGTTTTTATCTAGATACTATATATAATTTCTTACTTATAGTCGACACAGCTATATTAAGTATTTTGCGTATTGCGAAAGGGGTATAGCAATTTACTTTTTTAGTCGGCCCTTGAAATCTTTGATATAAGGATTTACTTACCTTCATTTGATATAATGAATCAGTATCGTATACTGGCATCACTATTTCTCACTTGGCTATAAGAAAAAAGAATTTTGTTCATGATAGTCTTAAATATCTTGGAAAATTTGTGTTACATTGATCTTTATCCTTTTGTCTATTTCAGAGTGGTCTGAAGGACAGGTTACCGAGTACCTAGTTGCAACATTTGGTGATTATTTTACAGATGTGAAAATGTGAGCTTCCCTTTTATTGGACTTATATTATTAGTTTTCAGCATGTCTTCCTTTTTTTTGTTTTCCCCACTGAGGAGCCGGAGGGAGGAGATAAAAGGAATATGGAACATAAATTATTGGTTTTCAACATGTCAATTAGGATCTAAATGATATTTTGCCATCTACTTCACATAGAAATTGGTCGCTGTTCTATATGTTTTTTTTTTTGTCTATTTTTTGCTTTTAGTTGAGGCCTAGTTTTTCCCTTTGTATTTCTCTTCCTGTCCTGAACAAGGCTTCTGTTTTCATCTTAAAAAAGAAAATAGGCAAACTAAGGAGTTGCATGTGTATAGATTGTGAAAATACATTCTGGTCTGCTGAGGGTGGAGATATCTGTAATGATTTTCATTCAAGAACAAATAGCAGCATGGTTAAATATTATATGAGGCTAGAGATGGAGCAAGATTTATAGGCCTAATGTTTTGGACCATGGGAATAAGTAGCTTTCCTTTTTTCACACTTTT